TCTCGGCCTTTCCCACCACTCTGATGGTCCTACGCCAGGAAAATCGATTTGCAGCAGCGATTTCCCAGGTCTCAGGGTCGATGTTGGCTTGTGTCAGGGATGACTTCAACTGATCCTTGAAGCGTCGTTTTGGGTATTTGCGTAGTCGCTTGCGAAACTGGGTGATACCTGAAAGTCGAGTGTGACATATTCTGGACACGTGACCGATCCATTGGAGGCGATGGTAGCTTCGATGCTGGGGAGAGGTGTCCGTGTGAGGACATCGTTGTTGGTGATTCTCTCCTCCCAACTGATGGGAAAGATTCTTCGGAGCTTCGTTTACTGGAACCGCTCCAGTCATTTGATGTTCCGACGATACAAAGTCCATGTCTCGCAAGCGTACGGACAGGTGGAGAGGACCACGGCTTAGAAGACCATGATTTTGGTTTTTATGGTGAGGCCGTGATTATTGAAGACCCGGCGCGGGAGCGTTTCGTACGTAGTATGAGCCGCTTTGATTCTGTTGTCAAGATTCTCTTTCGCAGGTGACATTATTTATACTGCTAAGTTAGAGAAATTCATCGACGACTTCTACCGGCTGTCCGTCAATGTTGATGCTGACGTTCGTTTTATTAAAAAAAAAATAAGAAAAAAATCATTAAGCATCTTAACTATAAACTTAAAAGCTATAACATACATCCCTATTTCTTCGGGAAAACTGTTCTGCCAGACCTGCATCTTTCAATTGGGTACCGATTTGAGTTCATGCCTCCGTAAAAGATTACTTTTCTTTTTCGATTCGTGTTTACCAATGGACATTGAGTGACGGTTTGAAAAATCAAAATAAAAAGCAATTGAAAATAAGATGAATAGTATTTAATAATGCTTGGCTATACTGTGGATGAAATAAGAGAACTTCAGCAAATTAAACAGCTTTATCCAGTAAATAAAGATATTAAGCTATATATATGAGTTCGCAGAAAATACGAATACGTGTTATATATATATATATATATATACATTTAAGATTTTTATATATATATATATATATATATATATATATATATATGAGATAACGATATATATTTATATATCAAGAAACAGTATTGAGGAAATTGTAAGACAAAATGGAAACATTTACTTGTGACGCGTTTCATCCATTAGGACTACATCGGACTGAGTTTGTTGACGTTGTTATGACGACACAAGCGCATGAACGAGATACACACACACGGACACACACACACTGTGGCAGAGTGATTCGTATGTTAGTGTTTCGAGCATGAGACCCTGGTTCGAATCTCACTATAGTCCATTTCTCAAGAAGGTGATTTCTTGATAATATCCATCGTACGTCATAGTTGAAAAGTGCCTGAAAACCATGCCAGAGTGAAACTGAGTAGACGAAACGAAAATTTTCAGAATATGTCAATGGCTGTACTAGCACGAAGTCATCGTGACCGAGTGTTTGAATGTACTGACCGTGATTACGCCAGATTATGCGCGGTCTCTCCCAGAAACAAATAACTAAGGTCCAGTCAATATAGTTTCAGTATAAACTACAGGTTTGTCTCTGCGGTTATTGAAAAAAACACAAATGTGTATGAGGAGGGATTTACAACATGGATTAATAAGTTACCATAGCATACTTGGATACAACCGGCATATATATATATATATATATATATATATATATATATATATATATATATATATATATATTGTGTGTTTATATATATATGTGTGTGTATATATATATATATATATATATATGTGTTTATATATATATATATATATATATATATATATATATGTGTGTGTGTGTGATTATATATATATATATATATATATATATATATATATATATATATATATATAAAAGAAATATACATAATAACTTACATTAATTGCCGAACTCCGAGTTTCATGCTGAAAATTACTTAACATTGAGCACTGTTTTTTATTACACTATAGAGTATTTATATATATATTTGTATACGATCGTTCGCTCGTATACCTACCTATATTTACCCATTCGATTATATATATATATATATATATATATGTGTGTGTGTGTGTGTGTGTGTGTGAGTGCTAAAAAGTTCTCTGTCCAAGGAAAGACCTAGCGACATGAAATGTAAATTATTCTTTTTGCTGCTTACTTACTCCGCAGTTCCACGGATGGCAAATAGTGCTGCGACGTTATTTTATTCAGTATTATAACTACTTTTTTTACCTTCCTTCACAGTAACTCTTAGTATTTTAGTAATTACCACTAGACAATAGCCTATTGAATTAAAGCGTTGATTTACTAATTTGGTGAAATGCTGAATTCAATATCTAAGCCGGGTTGTGCCGACTTAAACTCAGTGGAAACGGAACGATCAATAACTGTGCAGTACTCGTCAGTAGAACGAAATAGTAGTTAGTAGTTCGAAATAACTTGAAAGTTGCCCAGACCTACAAGCACTTAAATACGGCTGCAGAGCACAACGGCCAAAGATCAGGATACTAGACCGAGTGGAAATAATGTAAATACTGATTAGTAATAGTCATTCTATAAAGGATATAGTAATTTGCTAAGGAAGCTTAGATGTAGCACAAGGCTGAAAATAAGGAGTCCCTAGTAAGGATCGAACTCAGTAATAATTGACCAAGTACGACAAGCTTGTTAACCATTACCCCACGTCGAAATTCCCAGTTAGTAAAGGATATAAACAATAAATTTTGAACCGTTTTCATTTAATCTTAACAACTAAAATCCTCAAAACAATTTCAAAAATTTGTCGAACTTATTGATCTTGTGTTTTTTGTAATAATGTTCACCTAATACAAGACCCAAGAGCTACTCAAGGTAGAGGGCTACTGTGTGGACTTATATTAATGTAGGGAAGGATAAGCGTTAGAAGTATAAGGCTGAAGCAGACTTTAGAAGGAAGCGGAAATCCAATTCTAAACAGGAAACAAGGAATAAAACTCTGCTCCTGTTCAAAAGACCGGGTGATAGGTGAAACTTGCCGTATAATATCTCGGTAAAGAGGTTGCTGAACTCCGTAGTCAAGGAGAAGTGACTGGTGTAGGATTTATTGTTTGTGCTTGCAACCCCCATTGGATGCCCTATCGCACTGTGCTTTACTAAACTTCGAAATTATCGAATTTTTCTCTCCGTCTCTCCTCTACTCACATAAAAAAGTGAAAAGATGCAAAGCATTAAAGAACAATTAAACGTCATCTTTCTAGACAACCAGTTATGTTAAGCTTTTCCCGATAATTCGACTGTTTTTGCCGCTACAAATAGAAAGTAAGCAAAATAAGGGTACAACAAATACAAAAAAATGTTAAATAACAAAAACACAATTTTGACACAATTTTGAAAACGGGGGGGGGGTCGAGACAACCTAAACAAGAGAAACAGCCCAAGGTACGAGCAATATTATTAGTACTGATCTGGCGGCTCGGCTTCAGTCACTTTCCACCTACCGTAAGGCTGTTTCTCTCTGTGTCTTTTCTATAAATACTTTCATGGTAATTGTTCGGATGAACTCTACGCTATGGTAACGGGACTTTTTTTTTTAAATTTAAGCGCAGTACTATATTGGCGTCAAGATCTCATCAATTTACAGTTGAGCTGGCTAGATGTAACCGTAAATTCTGTGCTAACAGTTTTTTCTCGTACTTCTCACTTGTGGAACTCCCTTCTGGCTCCATGCTTTCCAGCCAACTTTAATCTGCAAAAATTTGAATGCAAAGTCAATTTCTATCTACTTTCCTCCTAATTACTCTTTTCTCTTCCTGCTCATTATTAATATTTCTGTTCCTAATTCTTCCACACCCTGTAACCCCTTGTATCTTAGTGGCTTTATTGCCTTGCATAGGGTGATACCGATTAAAAAAAATGTTACGTATATCGGACTCAAGCAAGTACAGAAATTTAGTTATCTAGAAAGTGTTACAACAGACGGTGGAGAATGAAACACAAGAGGCATTGAATTAAGGAAAAATGCCTCCCAGAATATAAGAAACAGGAAAAAATTCGTTAGAAACAAAATGTTAAACTACTATGTAATATCAATCCTAATATATGGCAGTTAGCGCTGGGCAGTTTCTTCGCAGATGAAGACGATATTTGAGGCAACAACTGCATTTCTACATGGAATGATGCTGAGAAAACCATGGAGGGATCACGTTAGCAATGAGGAAGTTCTAAGGAAAATACAAAAAAAAAAAAAGGAACCAGGATTCGAGAGACAGACGAAATGTCTAGGATACTGAAAGAAGAAAGAAGGCTTGGAGAATGAGACATTCACAGGACTTATTGAAGGCAAGAAAGCCAGAGGGAACCGTCAACCAACTTAACTAACGATCTTGTGTAAATAGAACACAGAACAGGGACTGGCAGATATAGTAAAGGATACAAATTGCTTAGTCACAAAAGATAGGAAGTTGTGAAGAGCCATCAGCGTCCATGTCCTGAAGGAATGTGGCACATAAAAGAACCAAAAAGACGGGAAAAAAGAAGGGATGAGTAAAAACATGAAAGAAAGAACATATTTTTTGGTTTTATTTTCACCCAAAATATCAAATCAAACTATTTACGTGTAAGCAGGAACAGTCTCAGGTGTATTGGGTGTATGTCTTTAAATTCTTGCTTTTGCCTGTCCAAAGATGTAATTGACTCAAAACAGATTCATAAGCCCCATCTTAGTCATCTCATGATCAGTGTGTATCTGTGAATGATATACTGATTTTCTATGAATAAAGATTATGCGTTTAAATAAAAAATATTGCTTTTGATGCAACGTCGATTACATCACAAAGAAATGCGCTAACTCCTGTCTACTTTGCAAATGTCAAATCTATAGTGGATTTTGCGTCCACACGCATGCGTGAGTGAATTTTGAATATGTCAGAAATTCAAGAGAAGCTTGAAACCCTGTGACGAATTTACATATTACAATAATATTCTAATCTGATCAGATTGTAACAAGATATTCTGACCTATCCATCTTTTCTGTTTCTAGCGAGAACCGCCACGCCTGAGATCAGTACCATTCTCAGAGTTCAGCAGAGCCATGCGATCTACGTATAACGCCACACAATTTCTGCGTATTTTTGCCGGCAAGGAAGCTACTAAAGAACAGCTTGACATGCTCCTGGGAAACCGACACTTTGACTTGAGTGAAAGACCACACTCAGACAACATGCCCGGAAGAGGAGTGCGGGCAAACGAAGACGATGACGATGACGACGGGTACAGCATGAACCCTCGCTCTACAGAAACAAGTGAGTCTACAATACGAGTCAATTTTTATTTCAATGTCTTTTTTTTATTTATTTATACAACTATAAGTTGCAATGCTTTCAGACTTGGACAAGTCTAACAATTTAATTTACATATTTCAAAATTATTTTATGCTATGTCATTGTGTTGCATATATAACGATATGGATAAGTGTCTTACTCAAGGGGAAGTGTGAGGTCACAGTGTGTCGTTCAAAATGAAGCAGCAATATAAGAAACCAACTTAATCAGAAAATTATTTACCAAAGTTTCGCCAGTTATTGCTGTTGCCATCAATTAGAAACGGTAATATTCAATAGAAGTATACTTTTTTGCTTTTCTACATTGAAATATTGAATGAAATATGTGGACCTTGATATCCATCCCTCACTAATTCATATATTAAAATATTTTTATCTAAACAATAAACGCCAAGGATATAATAATTATCGCCTGGTTACTCAGACGAGCTGCAATGGCGAGCAGTTTACGACTGATTAGTAGTGAGTTCGATCTTCATTGAGTATTCCATAGTTTCGGCCTTGTACCACATTTAATCTAAGCTTTGTAAATCGATGTAAGAATTATTGTTTCAATTGATTACTGCACGAGGCCTTTCATAATCTCCCCATAACGCAATGTGTGTGTCTTGTAAATAAATAACTTTCAGAATTGCACGCAAGCAACTCTAATCGTAGGCGTAAGTGCTGAACGACGTGTAAATAATCCCATCTTTTAGAACAGATTGATGTAATTGCTACTAAAAAAATTACCGTATTTTGTTTTATATATGACTACTACTGTTACTATTCATTATTACACAGCCGTACGACTTAGATTGCAGTAAACCACCCACATTCCCTCCGTATTGCATCGTCGAGTGGTAAATTCCACTCAAACAGCTTCTTTCCGTGAACCACTGATCTGTGGAAAAGACTCCCAAGAGAATATTTCCCTGATCACTACAACCTTAACCTGTTCAAGTTTAGGGTTAACCGTTATCTTCCCTTCCTATCCATATAGACCACCCCTTAACATAGCACTCTACCGCTAGTACCCTCACCTAGGGTACTGCGTGGACCTTACTGTAAACAAAAAAAAAGACAACAAATCATTATTAGTAGTAGTATTTTGGTCCCCGTCGCTTCACTGATGGCAACAAAATCAAATTTCAAATCTAAATTTTTTGTCCATTTAAAATACTACATTCATTAGAAAATATATTCAGTTTAAATAGAGGTGGGGGTGTAATAAAAAATACTTCAAAGGAGTTGTTGTTAGACAGAAAGAGAAATTAGTCCTAACGACATTAATTTCAGTTTCATTCAAATTATGTACGCATCTACATTTGGACGTGTAATTCATTAAAAAATAATTCCGTTTATTACCGGCTTACGGCCCTATCACGTTGAAACACTGTTTCTCTTACGATCACCGTAGTTAAGCAACGTCGAGCCTGCGTGACCCGCTTGGGAATGCCAGATGCTGTAAGCTTGGATGTGTGATACGGAATTGGAAGTCAGAAAGTCGAGTTCTAATTCCCGTTGGGTTCGTAATATTTACTTACGCGCAAATACCCTTGCGAAACCACATCTTCTCTCCACCATTAGGACTTGTATCAGTAAATCATTATTATCTCCAAAAAATTCTTACAACCTAAAATATTTTCTGGCTTTAAATAACCTGAAAAAGGTTGATAAGCCATATCTGTTTATTATCGAATAATTTCCAAAAAGTTTAAGCTTATAATTATTTGATTTTTTTTTTTCTTGTTTCCAACTTGATTATTTTATTGTTCAGCCCAGAGTGTGACTTGTTCAGTGGGAGGAAAATGTTTTATTTCAAATTCAGTTAAATTATGTGTGAAACATGTAAGTCACTTAGGGACGCACCACATACATTATTAAACGCAAATGGAAAATCGCACGCAGACTGTGCGTGACAGACAGATAAGCAGATTTTCTTTTATATTATTATCATTATTATTATCTATAAAAATCGGAACTTGGATCAAAGGAGGTACAAGTTAGAATGTTAGCAACATCCCAGGTTGCCGCTGTTTATCAAAATTCAAAACATTGCACAGTATAGAAATACTGCCCATCTACTTATCAATATAAAGAAAATATAAATATAAACAATGTATGTTAAAAAGTCCCTTAAAATCAGATTTAGTTGTTTGACGGCATATCAACATCCTTATGGGTCATTTAATGCGAATTTAATTTTCTTGGGAGCATTAGTAATTTCTTTTACAAGAATGTATTTCTGGTATTTTTTAAAAAATATTGTGATGGTAATTTTTCTTTTACAAAAAGGTATTGCAGGTAATATCTTCTTTTTTATATGAATATGTACTGCTGGTAATATTTTATTCTTCCTTAAAAATGTATTACTGGTAATAGTTTTTTCTTAGAAAAATGTATTGCTAGTAGTTAATTTACTATGAAAATGTATTGCTGGCACGTTCTGTATAAAAAATGTCTACACTTTCATAATGTATTGGCCCGAGTATGGGCTTTATTATTTGCCCGTAGTTTGAACTCTATCAGGTTCTACCACCCTAGGTTAGGGTGGACCTGGGAACAACTGCAGTTAAGAGGTGGTGCCATGCTCCTGAAAACTTCCCGATCAGAGGCCTTGCTGCCGGATGTAGTTGATCATTAAGATTAGAATTTGTTCAAACAGCCTGCATATAATGACTATCTTGCATTACACCCGGTCTCTGGTAAATACCCGAAAGAGAATGTACAAAATACAAATCAAAATAAAAACAATACTATCAGTAGCTGCAGGTATGCATATAAAATGCTTCTAATGCACTGTTAATGTGACCACGTGATCGTCTACCGAAGATCGAAATAGACAACTTGGGAGATGAAGCGATATGTTGTGATCGATCTCTATGGCTGCTCACTCGTATCCGAGTAGGTCTGTCTCCTAAGGTGGCTAGCCAATCCTTGTTGCAGACGCCTGCTCAGACACATTTGTGTTTATTCAACACACACCCTACCAACACTGCTGAACGGACCTTACTTACAGTTTTGGGGGAGAGAGAGTGCATTACCTGTCATGATCTAACCGACCCCCAATATTTCAAGGAAAAATTTAGAATTTTGTGTGTGTGTGTATAAACATGACGATTTTTGTAAATACGGGCGTCCATACACGATATTATCAAAAAATATGGTAAATTTAAAGCCAAAGTACCTAAAATTCATTAAAACATTATGTTACGGAGAATATTTTTTACAGCTATGTCCCCCGTAGAAAAAAAATTAGATAAACTTCCGGTCGTCAGTCTGTCAATAGAGCTGTCAACACCTAATCAAAATACCTTCATCTGTGTTAAAAATTCATTTCTATGATATTTTAAACTAAAAGTAATATGTTTCAAATCAGATTAATTAAACTTTAAATCCGTTAATATTCCTCAAATAATGTTTCAGAAAAGTATAATTTATTTTTGAGAGATTTTTTTAATAAAGAGATTTAAATTTTTCAGACAGTTGACTAAAAATGACTAAAAACTGTGATTTTAAGTGATTAAAAAAACACGTTCAAGTCATCATCAATTAGTTTTGAAATGCCGCAAAGTATTTTGCTTATTGGAAATATTAAATTTAATCTATTAGCTTAAAGCTAGTAGATTAAATTTAATATTTCCATTAATTTAGTTCCATTAGAACTAAAATTAAAGGTTCAAGAAAGATTTTTCTTTTTTAAAAAAAAACATTTTAAACCTTAGATATCGCTTTGCTTCGGAGGTACCTCGTTAAATTTATATTTATAAAATTAATTTTTTTTTAATTATTCTTTATTTATTTACTTTTTTTATTTTATTTATTTATTTTTTGAAATGTACGATTAACTCTTTGAAATATGTTTATCGTTTGTATTAAACATTTTCTTCGACAAGACCAAACTATTAGTAGTAGATAACGTTGTTTTCTTTTATTTTAGAAGGACTTCTTTATCTTTTATATCAAGAAAGCTAACAAGTTATGTTTGCTCGTATGTTTTATGAGCCTATTCATCAAGATAGTGTCTACTAATATCGACATTTATACGGTTTATACAGCCTTTCCGACCCAGGAAATCGTCTGGTAGCCATTACTAACCGACAAAGAAATATACTAGAATGTCGGGACTTGAAGATTAAAATCTGGAAGCCGATTCTAGGAAAAGTGCCATTCGTAATCAAGAAACTCCTGGGGTTCAATCTTTTTTCTAAGACGAATTGCACAAAAGAACTTTAGTAAGTGGTCATCTAAGTGACCTCCACCGATCTAATAGTGGTAGTGGAGGATAACTGCGGTGACCACTTACTAAAGTAACTTATTTGGTATTACCAATATATATATTCATATTCTAAAGAAATATCTAAAAGCGGAGTGTGATTGCAGGCATTGAAATCCTCAGAATAATGGCTCATAGCTATACACACTGACGTCTTTGAATTTACACTATTTACATTGTTTGGATTGTTTTCCTCATTTTTGTTGTCAACGGCGTTATCCAGGTGATCGGAATTTCGTACCGAAACCTTTATTTTGTCCCACCTTACCTATCTATCTTTCATGGTAGATGTCAGCTGGTGTATCACAAACAATGTGACTAAAATGTGCAGGAACTCCATCATACATATGCGTCTTTGTATTAGCAGGGTTACGTCTTCTAGCAGGCCTAGAAGTGTGTTCAAAATAAAAGTCCCTGTAAACAACTCCTATAAGACGTGCTGGGAGAACATAGGGACAGACAGTCACGGCAAATTAACTGTAAACTGATGCTAGTGTCTGGCCTGTATTGTACCATTTCCGATCCGTCCATAAATGTTAGTCGTGTAAATTTGTTATTCCATCCCTTCCAAATTTGCTCCGTGACAAACACTGAATGTTAAAATATTCGATCAGAGGTTTTTGTTAGTAAATTGAATTGTTGAATTGTTTTGAACAAAAAATAATTTTGAAAAAATATATGCTGTTCGTACCCACACAACAATAGTTAGAAAAGTATTCACAATTCCAATGTTGACATTTTTTTCTCATAAGATACCTGAATACTTAATGGAACGCGCGAATACAAAAACAAAATGGCCGCTAATATGCGCTAATTTATCTTTGACGTTTCTTGTCTTTACACAGTAATCGACAAAGCCTTGAACCATGTACATGAAATGATGCGATCACCGTTGAACGAGTGCAAATATCCACAGCCAGAAATCGTCTATGTACAGGATAATGAGGCCAAAAACCGCGTCTATTTCCCATCATGCACTGTGATACATCGATGTCGAAACGTCACAGGTTGTTGTAAGAATGCATCAAGTGTGTGTGGACCGAAACGAGTGAAAATCATCAGCAAATACTTTGTGGTGAGTATCTTCATTCTCATTTAATTACCTTCTTTGCAAAATTTCTTCAAGACAAGAACAAATGAAATAGAACCACAAAATACGCTCCCAATGTTCAAAAGGCCGTTTTTGTTTTTTGTTTTGTTAATTTACGCCTGTACGCTGAGGGTTTTGTATGGAACGGAAGGTATTATTTCGGAAAAATAAGTCCAGTATTTTTTCTAAGTGATCCCTTCAGTTTAAAAGGATTTATTACCATGACTTCTGTAACTGTATGGGAATTATTTTTCTATTTAATTTCAAACCAGATAACTTTCTCACGCATTTTAAAAGTTATATTATTATAAATGGAATCGTTATATCAGTTTTTTCATAATTATTTCTATTAACACATTGTTTTTCTAGTTGTGTTCAAATGCTCAGTTTTCTGATGACTTGGCATTCATGATTTTGGGAAGAGGGTTTCTTCCCAAAATCATGAATGCCAAATCATCAGAAAATTGATTTACTTCTATAAAAATAATCTTCATTAAAATTCATTTCTAATATCTGCTTATTAATACAAATTGAAGTATAATATTTCATATTAAACCATTATTCTCATTATAATCATTTTCTTTTTACAAAATTCGGAAGTCCTCATTTGAGACATTTTTGAATTTAGATATGACCCTATCAATGAAGTGAGAATTTATTACAAATGAATCGCGATCATTATTTCTATGTTAATTCGGTTTTGAATGAGCAAATTCGGTGAAAATATGAATGGTTATCATTAAGTGAAAAAAAAGATATTATCACAGTCTTCCTCTATCTTCCTTCCTTTTAGGTATTGGAATATGCAAGCAAAAATCCATCCGAAGCTAGGTTAAATACCAAGATGGTCGAAGTCCGACAATTTATGAATCACACTGAATGTGAATGCAAAGAAATTATTGGCTTGCCCGGGTAAGAAAATGGCACGAATTCTAAACAATCTTTGAAACTCTCTTTCGCAGTCACGTACAAATTTTCTCTCTCTCTCTCTCTCTCTCTCTCTCTCTCTCTCTCTCTCTCTCTCTCTCTCTCTCTCTCTCTCTCTCTCTCTCTTTTTTTAAAAACAAATTTTGGTTGTTTCATTATTTTATCATTTTTTTTTTAAATATTTATTTAATTTTTCAGTTCTTTTAGTTTCAGTATCTTCTTTGATACACTAATTTCAAAAAATAATTACCGCACATCCGTAATATTTTTTATTGTTTCCTACATTTAAATTCACAGTTCTTGATAATGACTAATGTCTAGTCGAAAGCTCATAATCTAAAACGTTTTAACACATATTAAATAATTTAAATTTCCTTTGCTGTTCGGACCATATGTTTTGACTAATGCTCTAATCCAAAATACCCTGTGTGTCTTAGAAAATCTAGCTTTGAAATTTCAAAGCCTTAAACTCAGTTGATGGAATGGTACAATGGAGGCAGTAGAAATTTCCAGCATCCATTCTTTCTTAATCAGCCACCTTAGATGGTATTTATCTCTATGCTAGGCCTACTGAGGGAGTTATCAGTGCATAACGTGTTTGCTGATTCATTCTGTCGACTTGTTTCTAGTGTCAGTCATGTTGACTTCATAACCACTCTTTTTCCGCCATGTGCTTTTAATGCCTTTCCCCGGACAATCACTTTTCGATGTTTCTGCACCTTTAATTTTACGAGGGGACTGTGGGTGATCCTTTTTATTTTCTCCCACAACTCTATCGAATAGATTACAGAAAGTTCTTGGTTATGTTTGCTTCCGAGGAGTGCTTGGTTTGGGGTGGTAATCTCCGAATATTTGAACTGCTTTTGAATACCATCCTAATGCATTATTGGTATCCGACTCTGCATCTTTTCAAATGTATCTCATGTATTGTAGATGAGGGTACAATGGTTGAACCATTGTTAGCGTAATAAGCAAGATGCTGGTCCGAATGGCAAAGCATAAAATAATGTTAAGCCTTCATCTAAAAAATTACGACAAAAAAAAAGTGTCAATTAAAAAAATTCTTTGTCTGTGGAGTGAAACATAATAAATTATTGCTGACTATATAAATTTCTCGTACATAAGTAGTTATAGATAACGCATATTGACGTAGCAAATTCTTATCTATGCAAGTCTTGTTGAAAGTAGCAATGAAAGACGATTACAATGCAACGTTTTTACTCAACTTCTATTGTTGAATTAAACTTTTTACTTTAGATGAAAATAGGTGAATGAACAGTTCATTGTTGAAGTGAGAGGAAGGGTGGATCTTTCGACCATTCCATTGTCATTACCAGGGAGGCGAAAAAACGTAGCACTCATTCTTTGTCTGTTACATTAAAAAATATCTGTGCGTGTAGACTCCTATGAATAATTCCTTGAATATCTTGTAGAAACACGGTTTGTTTTTTGTGCTTTAAAAAAAAAAAAAAATCAGTATCACTACATGAAAGGCAGTAAAGCCACTAAGACATAAGGGGGTTTCATGACGTGAAAGAATTAAGAACAGAAACTTTAATAATGAGCAGGAAGAGGAAAGACTAATCGGGAAGACAGTAGATAGCGATTGACATTGCATTTAAATTTTTGCAGATTAAAGTTGTCTGAAAAGCACAAATCCGAAAGGGAGTTCCACAAGTAAAAAGTGCGAGAAAAGAAACTGTTAGCATAGAATTTACGGTTACATCAAGCCGACTGAACTGTAAATAGATAAATTGACGTCAGTCTAGTATTGCGCTTAAATTTAAAATCTCTAGATACCATAGCGAAGAGCACATCCGAACAATTACCATGAAAGTATTTGTAGAAAAGACCCAGAGAGGCAACCTTACAGTTTAACCTTAGGTTAAACATTGTAACAGTTTTTTTTATTGGTTTTTAGAAATCGTTTTTTTTTTATTTTTTATTTTTATTTTCCTACGCTATGTCATCATTGGCGCAATGTCAATTAATAGAGAACTCGCTGGAATCGCTTTAGATAATGAGTGAAAAAACCCAAAGAATCGTTTTTCAATGAATTACTATTTTTGATTTTAATTTCTAATTTTTTTCAGCTGCAAAAAAGACTGTCCAAGTCCGTTCAAAAAGACCCGTGTTGGTTTGGAATGTCAATGTGATTGCGTTAGAAATCATCAAAATTGCCTTCTGGTTAAAGATGGCATAAAACCTTTACATGAAAGGTCGCTAGTGTAAGTATTAATGTTCATCATTGTAGTATCACATGGAGTTGCCATGTGAATCTTTTAATGGATTATTTCGAGCTGGGTGAAAGTTAATAGGCAATTTAGGCAAGAGCTTTTCACCCATGATTTATATTTTCAGTTCGCAAATATTGTAGATATCAGATGACCATTTCGAACATTTATACCATAAGGGTATAACAAATATTAATACAGAATTCTACTGACAGGTAGGTCCGTTGGTAGCGTAGCACGGAAAGCAGAGTACACATTCCAGCCTTATCTGTTGCATTCAGTTTCGTGCAAATGACCTTGGCCGAAGACAGGGACTAATCTTCTGACTTAAGATGTCGGATAACTGGGCTTTCTAGCCTTGAATAGCAACCAGTATAGAAGAAGAAAACTCTGGATTCAAATTAATGGAGTTAGATTGCTCTTGTTCCACGTGCCATGCCTCTTCTGGATGTCTCAATTTCAGTTATTTCCCTTTAGTAACTCAACTCTCCAAGTTTTTGTTCACCTCTGCTGTAGCCAGGTATTGAACTCACAACTCTTTGCGTCAAGTCACTGGATTACTTCAATCAATGCTTTTATCCACTGGGCCATGTATACTTGAGGACCCTAACAGAGGAAATAAAGGGTTCGGGCCGAAATTCCAATCACCTGAAGAAGGCCGGAGCGTAAATATGACAACAAAGATGAGGACAGCAGTTTGAACAATGCAAATAGTGTAAATAAGCATTGGAAATATTTAGTTGAAAATCCTTCTTGATTATTTTTCCTTCGTCTCTGTTCATATGTATGACTCTTTCAAAATTACAATGCTAACTTTCAAACTTAGAAATCATTTATACCTCATTTTGTTTTAAAGGTTAGCAAGTTGGTCAAAAAATTCATCACACATGACTTCATATATTTATCTGATTGCTTCTTGAAGTACAAGCTAACTAAATTCTATTTCCACGCTACACCTTTTCCATTAAAGTGGTGGTCTTTGATGTCTTTGACGACCCCTCACCAAAACAATAAAGAAGGGAACTGGACAATTTTCTAGTCTTACCCATATTGTACGCCTATGAAGCTCCCCACCGGAAGATCGGGGATTGGGCAAATAATTTGCAAAGTGCAGAGTATATATAGTTGGTATTTTAATGGTGTCTTAATGTGACCATTTTCTGAATCGCTCGTCGTGCAACTGTTTTTCAAAATATGGAATATACAATTTTCTTTTACTAATCAATTTCTGAAAATAATAGAATTTTATATACTGTTTCAGATGTGAAGCTTACAAATTGGTGAGACTTCAGCTCAAATCATATTCGAAACTTTTAAAAAGGCGATTATGATTTTAAAACTCTCAAAACAAATTTGATACCGTAGCTTGGCCAATTTTTTAATCACTTAACCCCAAGTGAGAGAATATGAGAAAAATCATTATTAAGGAGAGAGAACAATAAAAGAAAAGGAATTAAGAAGACAGATGACAATTTTTGAAAATCAAACTTGATTAGAAAGCAAAAAGCCGGAAGAGGAAAAGTGCGAGAGAAGAAACTGTTAGCATAGAACTTATCCATTTCAACTTTAAAATTATGACATCCTGCTGCCAATCTAATACTGCGCTAAAATTCATAGGTAGGAAAGTTTTTTAGAACAATTATCATAAAAATATTTATAGAATGACTACGTTACAACAGTGGGAAAGTCAATGAAGAGAATGAGATGTCAGGTCAGAACCAATAACATTACAGATTCTTCTTTGGATTTTACCAAGAATTTCTAAATACATGGCAGAAGCACCAAATATGGCAGCAATATTCAATGCATAGACGAATGGTAGGCTTACATATATGTAAGATAGATTCTTTTGAGAAAAATTGTCTAGCACGAGATAGTGAACCAACTTTCTTAACAGCAGACCGAGCAATAGATTCAATATAATCTTTCTACTTTATGTCAGACAAAAATTTTAACCCAAGAAGGTACAATGTGTCACTTTCCTGGACGTTAGCATCAGCCATATACTGAGGGGAAAGTAAAAAAAAAGTTTCTCTCAGACAATTAAAAACAGCAGTTTTGTTTTGGGGGCGTTAAAATTAACAAGCCATTCCTTGTCACAGTTAACAACCCAATACCGTAGTGTCTTAAAACATAATAATTCAGTATTACATTTTTTTTCAATTTGTAGACATAACTAATGGCTATACGCAAGTTGTGAGCTCTTTGACGAGGTTGAGCTTTCAAACATCGATATTCCAAAAAAAAAACCCTTGATGTAATACGTGTTATCAATTTAACTGTAAAGTATTTGATCAGTTTTTCAATTTTCTTTACAGATGCATCAAAAACAGAGACTGTCAACGCCCAAGTTGTCGTTATGGATTCTTCAATTTAAATACAGGGTTCTGCCCACATATACAATCAGGTTTTAACAGGAATCGACGGCGGTACCGGCAGAGAAAACATCGAAGAAATGGATAAAATAAAAGACAAAATAATTTCCATATAAGGAAATTTTAAAAAGCCTATGATCAAGAATTATTTTATTCTAATTTTTTTAACACAAAGGAGACAAGCAAAAATTGAAACTGACATAAACTGAAAACCAAACAGACTAAAGAATTTTACTTGATTTCGAGGTTTGGTAGAGAAATTGCTCCTTTTTGAAGTTTGCTTAAAAAAACAAAAACAAAACAACCATTAATACGAAGCTGTGACATAGAAAGAAAACAAAAAAAATTTAAAAAGAGAATGTTGAGAAAGATAGTGAAATATTTAAAAATGAATGTTGCTAGAATGGATGAAGTAGGATATTATAACAGAAAGCAAAAAATTCTCTTGAATATAAAAAAGAAAATGGAGGTTTTTGATATATTCATGGAAGAGTGTTTTCTCTTTTTTAAAATATCAAAGTAAATTTTATATGGAAAAAAGTGGGAACAGGCCAAAAATAAGAAAATGGAATAATAGTGAGAGAGAAATACAAAAGACTTTATAAAACATTTTGTATTGAACTGAATATTATTACTATTTTTTTTAATTTTCTTGTTTTTTTTTTATTTTATTTTATTTTGTTTTGTTTTTTGTTTTTTTTGTAAAATAATTGTCTTTCTCTCCTTAAAAACTTAGTACGATAATCTGATAATTGCTATTATTCGGACTCTTACCAACACGACAGGAAAAGACCAAACATGATGGTTTGAGAAAAGAAAAAGTAAGACTGAACATGTTGAAGCACACAGGAAACATTTGATGAATTTGCATATTCTATCTCGCTCGAGCCAACTGCATTGAAAAAAATACTCCGTGACCCTCCAAATTCTTCAATAACAAATATATATATATATATATATATATATATATATATATATATATATATATATATATATTCTTACATGGTATAGATATTATACTTTCATAGACCTTATCTATGCATATATGTATGTGTGTGCTTGCGTTTATGTACATATAGATATATGGATGAGTTTGGATGGTAGTGACATGAGAAAATATTCTCTGTAAAAGATGTTCATTTTAACAAATTTATCTTATCGTAGAATATTTGGTTTGATGTATCTGTTTTGAAAACCTATACGTGTGCTTATAAGCAGAGACTATTTAAATATATTTAAAAAAATGAATATGCACATATTCGGTGCCTACGTTAAAGTAAGAGTAAGCATGCTCGTATAGCAGAAAATGCACTGATGTAGTGAGATCGATCCTCACTATTGTAGCCCTGTGTTAGCTGCCTGAAGTTAGTGTAAAGTTTAACGGCATTATAGCATACTCCTCAGATGTACTTTTTTATATGGGCGATATAAGTAATTGCAAAAAATATATTTTAGATGAACTATATTTAATTAAAAAATTTGAAGTAGTAAATTAATAAAATTTTATAGTTTATTTACAGTTCTTTACTACTTATTTGCAGTTCTTTACTACTTATTTCTAAATCATGAAATAAATGTTTCGTCCATTTACATGCAAACAAGCCATTCATAAAGATGGCGCTTATTATATGTACAGTGTGGATGGAAAGAAACTCCTTATTTAAAATAATAGCTTTATTAATTTTTGGTTGATTTTCATAGAGCATGTTTTATTTTGAACAATATAATGGCAGATGCACAGTAGAGTGTTAAGATTCTAGCTTTTGCACATTTTCATCCAATCTAGATGTTGATGAACGACTGCTTCTGTTAGTATCTAACACAGATGATTTTGGAAGCACGAGGTCCATGAACACTGCACCACCATCTCTGCACTTCTGCCATAGACAGCAACTGTTCATAACCGGATGATCATGTAATGTTAGGTGTAGTGCCATTCTCGACTAGATTTGTCACTCTGAAATAAAAAACAAAAATTGACAATGGAATTCAACTCCTTTATGGATCACAATTTGATTCATGCATATGTTATATTATTAACAAAAGTTATAAATAATTTTCTATAGTGAGTTTCTTTCCATCCACCCTATACATATATATATATATATATATATATATATATATATATATATATATATAACAAATCGGAGACATCAGAAAGCCATGGTAATATTTTATTTTTCTTCGTCAGATCTGGCGTTTTAAACACAATGACCCCATTAACGTTATCATTATATATGTGCGTGTGTGTATGTATATGTATATATATATATATATATCGTATATATATATGTGTGTGTGTGCATATATATATATATCTATAAATATATATATATATATATATATATGTATATTTGAATGTCTGATGAATTGCATCGTAATTGCGATTCAAATGTAATAAATTATAACCATGGAATATTAGTGTTTAAGCTTTTTATTATATGTATATGTATATGCATATCTATGTATATATATGTACATGTATATATATATATATATATATATATATATATATATATATATATATATATATATATATGTCTATATATGTATGTATACGTGTATATATACGTATATATACATGTATGCGTATATATATATATATGTATATCATATACATATATGTCTATATATGTATGTATACGTGTATATATACGTATATATATATACATGTATATATATATATATATATATATATATATATATATGCATATATGTCTATATGTATGTATACGTATATATATACGTATATATATATATATATATATATATATATATATATATATATATTACTGTTACACGGGTTGGACAGTTTTGTTGTTATATCCGATATATATATATATATATATATATATATATATATATATATATATATATATATATATATATACACTTTGCGCATATTTCACATTAATAACTTACCACATTTAATCTTAAAAATATTAGAATTTTTTTTTTAATTTAAAGAAATAAATTCTACATTGTCTTTAAGCCCGGGGGACATCTTTATGGAGTGATTTTATCTTTTTCTACGCATAATGCGCTTGACACTAGAAAACTGCCATATAATTTCTGCTTTTAGGAGAAACTGCTGCAAACATTCATGCAACGGCGGCACTTGATGTAAGCAGAGGATTGATCAGTAGAATTAATGGCGCTGCTAGAGAGAGAAAGAAGAATCTTATTTTAGTGGCAGGCGAGCTACTTTTGTGTCAACATAAAACTGATGCATTACAACTAACAAAAGATTTACTTTGGCAAAACACATTAAAAGTCTTCATGTGAGTAGTGTTATTGCTAGCGATCTAGAAACTCAAGTGGGGTCTCAGAATGTTGACAAATCTCCATGAAGGAGCCGAATATGGTTTACTGTTTAAGAGCTTCTGGAACCACAACAACACTGATAACATTTAGAGGATAGCTGTTCTCTAATGAAGATGACGTGAAAGAGACAACAAAGGGTTAAAAAGAAACAATCGGTAAAGGTTTTTCGATGTAGCTATAGATTACCCTCATTTAAAAGGGGGATTACAATGATGGCGAAGGAAGGAGACGATATTGAGAAATAGATTTAGAATTCCGAGACTTTTGTTTTCATTTTGGTAGATATTGATTGCTTCTATATTTAAATCTATTGGAATTAAAGAATAAGCATTATTTTTTGACCGTACATTTTAAATGGATTAATTCATTTTTGCTTGGTTGTGTCTCTAATTATTTACGACTGTGTGCATGTACGGTGCTTGTGTAACTAAATTTTAGTTGATATCTGTATACGCGTGCAAGTTAATATTTCCTGTGGATAGAATAGTTGGCTGTTGCTAGCAAAATCTAAGGCTTTAAAGGCCAAAATCGGCTCATTAGCCATAACATATATAGAAATATTTGTCTCCAAATCGCGATATAAATAACTCCTTCCAATCGCATCACTGCTTTTATATGTATACCATTTTCAATCCAGTAGTCTATCATTTCAAATTTCTTTACGTTTCTGAAAATCCTGTGTATGCATGAAAATTAATGTACTTACTGAGCGTGAACATTGAATAGAAAAATGAAATAGACAAAGCTCATAGTGAGGATCGAACTTACTAACCACTGCACTGTGGATGCTCTAGATGCATTTCTGTTTGTTCTGTTCATATTAGCAAATGAATATGCATATACATTTATGGATTGATAAGAAATTCCTTAACAATTAAGGTACGTCAGTTCCTATGCACACATGTGTGTGTGTTTTTCTTTTTTCATTTTTCTTTTTTTTATAATACTGAATTGAATATTTCAGAGTATTAATAAATACTCATTATTACCAGCGGAGTGGCCCGCAACCATGTCCTATGTATATTACCGATTTGTTTTTTTTTGTTTTTGTTTTTTTTTTTTGTTTTTTTTTTCTAGCCTTTAGTTACGTCAAGCAACTCCTTACAACAGAAGCAAATTACGACGCAAGGCCTCTTACGTGGATAGGTGCCGAAAATATTTAAGTTCGTTGGATTTTGCTTATTTTTAGAGCGATTAGGTGGTGCTGTCTTGGGGATTCAAACTGACCAGTTATTTAGAGAAAGAGGCAAAAATGCTTTTATAAATTGTTGCTATCGCTCTGAAAACAGCTACCGATTTTCTTTTTTTTTTTTTTTTTTTCTTTATTCTTTTTTTTTCTTTATATACTTTAGAATTCATTCATATTTCCACAATAACCTTTTCATTGTTTAACAGTTCCATTTATGCATGCATGCATTAGTTTCCCTAATATGTGTAAGCATATTGTTGCAAGTGTTTATCACCACGTGCAACAACAAAAACGTATATGTGTATTTAAGTGCATTCGTATCTACAACTCATATTTTGTTACCTGGCTGTGTAAGTGCGCCCATTGTTGCCTCACTACGTAGACAGATGAGCGCTTGTATCTAAATGGTGTGGACGTGCTAAATACATTTGTGTGGGCGTTGACAAATTTGTTTCTTTTGTTGGGTGTTTGAAAAGAGAACTTTTTTAATAAAAACGTGTTTTGTTTTGTTTTTTGTTTTCATAGACATGTCATTAGTTGT